AGAGAGAGAGAGAGAGAGAGAGGGGGAGAGGTAAGGCACAAAAATTGTCTGCTTGCTATAGTGCCCTTTTGCTTGCCCCATCACACCATGATATCATCGCCCGCATTTCATAATCAATTTCATAGCTGACCCTCAATGTCTATTCCGCATTGCTTACAATCTTATTTTTCTTTTTACTACTGGAACTGACTTGGAATAATTTATCTGTCTTTCCTTAAGTTTTTAAGCAATTGCAAAAATGGCTCAGATTTAGTTTTTTTCTCCTTCCATTCGGAAACGACGAGGGCCCAAAGGTTTTCGTAGTGTTTTTTTCCTTTTCCTTGCTGCTTGAAAAAGTACCAGTATTTTGGTAAATAAAAGTACGGAGTAGGGATGGATTCGGTTTTACTGAAACAGACTTGGTGGATTCTTTTAATTTCTCTGAGACAATAAAATTTAGCTGGCAAAAACTGCAAAAAAAGGAAAAATAAAAAGAAAAAGGAAAGAAGAGGTAAAAAGAAGAAGAGAGTCGAAATAAATCGAAACCAAAGAAAAAACTGCTTCTGACGTATTTCTCTGCCGGATTTTGCCATCTTCATGGTTCTAATTTCTCAGACTCGCTAAAACTTGAGCTTCTTTGAATGAAATAGAGTTAATATGTAGCATATAATTAAAGGCTGCCTAAGACAAACCGTATTCATCGTCCACCAAAGCCACTTTCCCCGTTGTAAGTAAGCCAACCTGCCACTGGCTTTGTTTTGCAACCGGGGAAGGGGGGCCTTGATGTACATAATACCGTAGTGCTTCTTGATAATAATGTTTTTCGTTCGCGCGCCAATTTCAATCACTTCAAACGTTGCAGCTCTCTATGAATGGGGGATCTACAGTGCAGCCCAGTTAATGGGAGTGATGTTAAACAGGTTGACGATCTTCTATTAGTTGCACTGACAGAAGCAGGACTTGATGAAATTGCTGCTAAACCAGATGTTTCATCACCAACCATTTCGGAAAATACTGATTCATCAAGCGATCCAGCTACTAATGGAGCTACCGTTGAAAGCGGTGATTGTATGCTTCAACCTTCATGTTCTTCAGTAGAGCCGGATTGCAATGTTGACGGTAGTCATCTGAGTGAGGGGCCTGTATCCCTGGATCACTCTGAGACAACTTTGGACCGAGGTTACTTAGAGGTAATTGTTTTGGCTCTTGTAAATTAGTTGGATGATACCCGGTTTAAGAGGTTTTTGTTCAGAAAACGGAGCTGTTTTTAAAATTTTTCTTTTATTTTATTTTATCCTTATTGGACTTATTTTAGACCAGGCTTAGCTAGTTAGTAAGATTCTTTTCGAGAAGCGTTATTCGAATAAACTTTATTCTCCTGTTCTGCACCTATAATATTTAGCACTCCGATGAACCGTATTTTTTGGATGATGGTAATGAGCAGAAAAGGTTACGAGAAGTCGTAGTCCCTGCTGACACTTTGCCTACAACTTCAAATCGTATTTTGGTAACAAATATTTCACCGCAGAAGAAAATCACAGTTGTTCCTTTGAAAACACCACATTCTACTCCAGCAATTTTGCGAGCACGTCGAATACCTCCGGCATTACCTCACCAAGTAAGGCCATCCGTTTAAAATATATTTTTTTAATATGATTTTTAGAAAGGAAAGTTGTTATCCACGCTGCTGCTTGTAATTTATAGGGTTAAGATAAAATTCTTAATTAATGGTGGGAGCTTTGGGGAAAAGTTGAAGAGGAAATAAAAAAACTTTAGATTGATGAAAGCCACGGAATAGTACGTACTCGACGTTTGGAATCGGCTAATACTGTGTATCGTTCTATACCTGAAAGTAATGTTGCATATACTACGTCTGTGGCCATATCAGGTTCGAGGAGTGCTGCTCAGTTAACCCCTACGCCCCCAGGAAGGGGGAGGTTTGTTATTGTGCGACGTCGCACACCTACTGGTTAGTGGCTCACTTTTTTTTTCTAAAGTATCTCGCTTGACTAAGATATACGTTTTTAAAATTTTTATTGGTTATATATGACTACTTGTGGTAAGTTTATATCTGTTCTTAAGGCACCGTTTTTTTTCGAAGACCTGCAGAGCTTTATAATGTGCAGCCACCTAGAATTTATATTAACCGCGATGGTGATGAAGGTTTACAAGGGACAAATATTAGAACTATGAGCGGTTTACGACAACAGCCTGTTCATTTAGTTCCATCACCAACTGTTTTAACAAGGTCAACTGAAAATTTTAGAAATAGTTAAAAAATTATAAAAAACCTGATTTATTTTAATTTAGCCGTCCGCTAGATGGCAGAAGAAGACGTGTTCTAACCCACTCAACGGTTCATTATGAGACTGGTCATCAATATTTGTCAAGTACACCTAGACAGGCTCCATATGTTTCACAACCTTCAGCACGAGGAAGCTACAGTGTCATACCTAGAGCGTCAACATCAAACGAATTATATCGTAAAGTGAGCGACGTTTCCGATTACGCACCTCCACTGCGCCCAATAGCTCGAGTTTCGTCTGTACAATCATTAGGAAGTCGGCGCTTTAGTTTTGATTCGATTGTTAAACCAGCTCCAGTACGAAATATTCCCGCGAAAGGATGCAATATAGTAAAGCAGCAAGAAGTCGTCAGGAATTCGAAAATTTACATGGAACAAGAAAAAGAGTTGAAGCCTCTAATAACAGGAAATCAGCAAATAGAAAATTTAAATGTGAAAGTGGAATTTGTGCCGAATGTAGTGGCCAAGTATGAAGAAGTAAGAGCGAGTGAAGAGCCTGATGTGGCTAATGTTATTGAGAGGAAACCAGTAGTCATTGATTCGAGCTTAACGAGAAAAACACCAATAAAGGTAGAAGAGCCAAAGAAAGATGTCAAATTTTTTTTGGAGCAGCAAAATGCTGTTAAAAATATTGAAAAAAAGGACGTTGTGAAACAGGAATTCAAGACAGCGAAGGATGAGATGAAAGCTGCTTTGGAAGCTGGAATTAATTACAGTACTCAAGAAATTGATGATGAGGTAATTTGTCTGCATGTTGAATTTTTTTTTCACTTGAATATTTTTCTCGCGAAAGTTTGGTTATTTGCAGAAAAAAAGAATTTTAACTGTTGTTCAGCTAATTAAAAATCAGAAGTATTTATGCACTTAGGATAAGTAGGCAGATTATTACTGCCTATGAGTGCTAAATAAGAACTTGATTTCGATTTGTAACGTTGCGTTCCCTACCTAATTTTTTTTCACTTTTTCAATTATTCTTGTTATTGTGTTTGTTACTTTTTCTGTTCTGTGAAATTAGCTTTCTTAGGTGGAAAATTTGGGTTATGCAGAGACCTATGCGGATTACCGACCCGCGAAACTGCGGTCTGGGCTTGCACACCCAGACTGTGTTGTTGAAACCGCTTCCTTAAGTAGTGTAACACCTCCAGATATACATTACAATTTGACTATACCTGAAGAAGTTAGTTCTTTTCCTCATTCTTTTTATTTTTTTTATTTTTATTTACTTTTATTTTTTATTTTCTGGAATTTAACTTTGCGCGTTATGAATCAGCGTGTTCTTTTCGCGTATTCATTTTTTTTTTTGAATATTTAAATAATCTTCGTTTAGTTATCTGTGATATTTTAACTACCACTCACTGAAATTGTTGTCGTAACGTTTTAAGTTCACACGTGAAGCATTTGAACGAAAGCCTTTTTAGTCTTGACTGCCAGTTGGGTTTGTTTGAAAGTCTTTTGATACAGAAGTTTCAGAATTCTTTTTTCAGCTTATTGACACTGGGGCTATATCTACTGTACAGTTGGAGGCAGTATTGTATGCTTGTCAGGCGCATGAGACGAGGCTTCCATCAGGGGAACGTACCGGCTATTTAATTGGTAGAACATGCTTCTTGCAACGAAGATTTCGATTATAAGTCAGCAGTGGTAGTCCGCACTTTTCAGCTCGTTATCCATTATTTCTGAAAATTTTTCAGGTGATGGCGCGGGAGTTGGTAAAGGTCGATCTGTGGCGTGTATTATTTTCGAAAACTATTTGTTGGGTCGGAAACGTTCTATTTGGTAATTTATACTGTTCCTCGTCTTTCTGGTATTTCTGAAGCTTTTGTTTCAAATTTTAACATTGTCTTTTTGATTTTTTTCCAGGTTGAGTGTTTCTTCTGATTTAAAATTTGACGCTGAACGCGACTTGAGGGATATTGGAGCTTCTAAAATTAAAGTGATTTGTTTGCATTTTTATTCATACTCGTTTTTGAGTCTGTTGTTATTTCTGTATAAAACATTTCGGATTCCTAAACTACCTTCTGTTCGTGAACACATTATTTTGAGTGATTGACCTCCATGTGGTAAAGTTGAGATGCTTTAATTTCTATTTCATTGTCTTTTGTAAGAAAGATTATTTCAGGTTCATGCTTTGAACAAATTTAAGTACGCAAAAATTAGTGGTAAGGAGAATGGTGGCGTTAAAAAAGGGTGTATATTTGCCACATATTCTTCGTTAATTGGCGAATGTCGGTCTGCTCGAAGTAAGTACAGAACAAGATTAAAACAGCTCATTCAGTGGTGTGGGAAGGTATGTTTTTGATGAGATTTTCCACCAGAAGAAATTGTTTAAGTATGATCTCTGTATGTAATTATCCTTTATTTCATTATAACGGCTTTTACAGAAGAGTTTTAACGTTCAACGTAACATTTGATTTTTAGGACTTTGATGGTGTTATTGTACTGGACGAATGTCATCGCGCTAAAAACTTGGTACCAAGCTCCGGATCAAAACCGACTAAAACGGGACGAATGGTTCTCGAGTTACAGAAGGCTCTTCCAAGTGCTAGAATTGTTTATGCATCAGCTACGGGCGCAACAGGTAGGATTTGCATTATTAAGAGCTGGAAGGTTTTGTGATGTTAATACTTCTTTTTAGAACCTCGAAATATGGCCTATATGGTACGGCTAGGACTTTGGGGTGAGGGACAAGCTTTTCCAAAGTTTGATGACTTTATAAACGCAGTGGAAAGACATGGTGTCGGCGCGATGGAGATTGTTGCTATGGATATGAAAGTAAGTTGAAATGGATTTATGGAAGTGGTAATTTTGCATATTTTTTGATTTGTATGTGGAATTGTTACAGCAGCGTGGCCTCTATCTTGCGCGTCAGTTGTCCTTTAGGGGTGTAACTTTTCGCGTTGAAGAGGTTCCGTTATCCGGGGAGTTTATTGAGGTATATGATGATGCTGTCAAATTATGGTTGGAATGCCGAAGGCAATTTCAGGTTTTTTCTTTTGGTGTATTTGCTACTTTACTAATGTTATGACTGTCTTGGTGGTTTTAAGATGATCTTAGCCATACTGTTGCTTCAGGCGGCTATCAATTCTTTGCGTGATTGCGGAAGAGTACAGTCAAAGCAGATTTGGGGGCAGTTTTGGGCCGCCCACCAGCGCTTCTTTAAATATCTCTGTATAGGAGCTAAGGTTTATTATTTATACATATATCTTTAGTATATTTCAGTATCTGTTTCGTGTATTTTCTCCTTCGTTTCCATTGTATTTAAACCAGAGCTAGTTTTTGTAGGTTGATGCTTGTGTTAAAATTACCAGAGATGCTGTTAAAACAAATAAATGTGTTGTGATAGGATTACAATCAACAGGTGAGGCAAGAACTCTTGAAGTGTTGGATGACGTTGGAGGTGAACTAACAGACTTTGTCTCCACGGCAAAGTACGTGTTTTGCTGTGTTTTATGTACCTTTGATTAAGTAGAACGGTTTTTTGGCAAGGAATGGTCATTTTTTATTATTTTTGTATCACAGCAGTCTTTCTTTTGTATATTATGGTTCTGCTTATTGTAGGCTTTTTTTATTTTTGGCTTAACCTTTCATTTGCTTAAATCTCAAGTACAAATGCTTCAAAAGTTTTAGGGCCGTTTTGACTGGCTTAATTAGCAAGCACTTTCCGACATCGAAGCAGCATGGTGGAGGTGATATTTTTTCAAATTTTGATAGGATGTTTAACGAATTTGATCGTCCTGTGAAACGGAAAAGTAAGTTCTTTTTTTTATTATTTTTATATATAAGTGTTAATATTTATGGTACCTGTTTTGTTACAGGCTCTTCTATAAAATATAGATGTTATTACAGGAACTTTTGGCGGTTATGCTTCTGTTAA